GGGTTTTTCTTGCTCTTCTTTTTCTAGCAGTTTAAGATTCATCATTATGTTGTTTATTTGAGCTTGCTCCATTTTCCTAGTGTGAGCATTCATTGATATGGATTTTCCAAATAGAACTGCTTTCATTGTGTCCCATTGATTCCTGTGTGTTGTATTGGTATTATCAGTTATTTGTAAAAACTGTCTAATTTCTTCTTTGATTTCCTCTGTGACCTATTGATTGTTCAGGAGAGTGTTGTTCAATTTTCATATGTTTGTGAAGTTTCTGCAGTTTCTTATGCTATTGATCTCCAGCTATACTGCACTATGATCTGATAATATACAGGGTATAACTTTTGAGTCCTTTGCATTTATTCATTTATTTAGTTCTATGAGCTAGTATGTGGTCTGTCTTGGAGAATGACCCATGTGCAGCCGAAAAGAATGTATATTCTGATTTTGTGGGGTGGAGCACTCTATAAATGTCTATCAGACATTTATGTTCAAAAGCTTAGTTCAGTTCTAGTATTTCATTGTTGATTTTTTGCCTAGATGATCTGCTTATTTGTGTTAGTGGGGTATTTAGATCTCCCACTACAATTGTATTAGGGCTTATTTGGTTTTTCATGTTAATTAATATTTGTTTTATATAGTTGGGAGTATTAATATTTGGTGCATATATGTTTATGATTGTCATCTCTTCTTTAATTATTCCCTTTACAAGGATGTAGTGGGCTTCCATGTCTCTCTTAATCAGTTTTCATTCAAATTTACTCCTCTGCGAATAAGATAGCTGGCTACCCCTGCTTTTTTCTAGGCTCCTGTCTCATGGAGAACTGTTTACCATCCTTTCACTTTCAGTCTGTGGGCTTCTTTTTGTACTAGGTGTGTTTCTTGTATACAACATATTGTTGGATTTTCCTTCTTAATCCATTGTGCCAGTCTATTTCTCTTGATTGTTGAATTGAGGCCATTGACATTGATGGTTATAACTGATATGTACTGACTTCTTATTGTTATGTTATTGTCCTTTTGTTGACTCTTTTTAATTTTTTGCCCTCTCCTTTTAGTTTCTTGCCTTGGCTATTTGCTTTGCTCTGTTGGGCCTCATGGTGTTGTGATCTTCATTGTCTTTTCCTAGGATATTGTTTAGAATTCCTTGTAGTGCTGGTTTGGTGTTCATGAAGTTTCTCAGGTGTTCTTTGTCATGGAATTATCTTATTTCCCCATCCATTTTGAAAGAGAGTTTTGCAGGATACACCAGTCTAGGTTGGAGGTTGTTTTCTTTTAGGACTTGAAATACCTCACTCCAGGCTCTCCTTGACCTGAAGGTTTGTGTTGAAAAGTGTGCTGTGATTCTGATGGGCTTTCTTTTGCATGTGATTTGTTTCATTTTGATTATTATGTCTAGGTGTAGATTTTTTTTTTTTTGATCATGGCTAGTTGGAGTCCTATATGCCTTACTTATCTGTATGTCAAATTCTTCCCCTCTGGGAAGTTTTCTGTCACTAATTCTCTGAACAGCTTCTTAAAATCATTTGTATTTTCTCCTGTTATTTCTTGGATTCCTATCAGTTTTATGTTATTCTTTGCATCATCTAGGAGTTGTTGGATTGGTTTCTCATGATCCCTTACTGATTGTAAGAGACCTCTCTTTTCATGGTCACTAACTGCAATCCTATCTTCTATATCTGAAATTCTTTCTTCACATTCACTTATCCTGCTGTGAAAACTTTCAGTAAATTTTTAATCTCCTGGATATCTGTTTGAATCTGTTTCATGGATTCCATTTCTTTCCTTTTCTGGGCATTCATCATTTCCATTTTTTACTTATGCTGGGCCTTCATGGCTTCTATCATGGTACTGAGCTCATCTATTTTTTTTTCAGTTTCTGTAATCATGACATTCATTGTGCTTGCCATCTCTGTAGTTATTTGGAAAATTATTTATGTTTTGAATTTTTCTAGAGCCTAATTGATCTGGTTTTATAACTTCCTGTGCTATGAGTTCAGGGTATTCTTGTGGCTCATTGTCAGGTTTTCAACCTCATTTGCCCTACTGTTTGCCATTGGTGAACTGGAAGTCTGTCTTTATGTCTTCCTTAAGTGTTTTCTCATTTTTATTTTTGTTGTTGTGTTGTCCTTGGTTTAATTCCTGGGTTATTACTTAAATCTTCCTGATCTAGTTGTGCTTTAGCTTTTGATCTCTAATGGCACATAGACATTTTAGTTGTCATAATATCAGAGAAGATAACGCATTAAAGCAACCACAACCCTTTAGCCCAATTGATACAATCAGCAACACAATAGGATCAAGCACAACTTACAAATTGACCATTTGTGGTAGTCATTAATCTATGACCTTTAAACCATGTGAATTAAATTAAAATCAGGGAGCAGCCCAAAATATATTTGCAGTGAATAAACTCTTCAATATCTTTACCATTTAGGATGGGGGCTTAGACAGAGTTAGGATGAGAGGAGTATATAAGTAAAAGAATTGGAGAAAATTTCAAGTGAAGCCAGAGGACACAGGATGACCATACAAATTTTAGGAATCTGTTGAAGTCAAAAGGGAAAGACAGAATGCAAGAATAAGGACAAGAATATAACAACAGTAATAGAGGCTTACTTTCCTTTGAAACAATTGACCCTTGAGTGAAGGAAAATGAGAGAAGAAAAGAACATAAAGAAGGAAGAAAAAATGATAAAAGAAGAAATCTGAGTTAGGGCAGGAATAGGAAGAGAAAGGGAGATGAGGAATAATATGATGGAGCAAGAGATTGAGTTGGAAAAAGAGGACAGATAAAGAGAGTGGAATGAGGAAAAGAAAGAAGTAAAAGAATTTGAAGGCCTCTTTCAGACTATATCTCTGCTGTCATAATATATAACATGCACAGCCATGTGCAGAACTAAGTTCATTAATCTCAGCTAGCTGATGGCAGACCCCTGAGATTCAGAATGATTTCAGGCTGCAAGGCCCAAATTGAGCTCCCTGACCTCCTACAGGTTTGAACTCCACAAAGTTCTACTACAGGTTCCCTTTGCCCTTTCTTTAAAGATATTCAAAGTTCTGATGGAAGGTGGTGATCTCTCCAACTTACCAACTACGTAGATCTGATGTGCTTTTATTGCAGTTGTTTACTTCAGTTCTATCTTCTGGAGCTCAGAAAAATGCCCTTTATGACCACCTGTTCCTCTGCAGAGTGGATCTTTGGATCCACTGGCACAATCAGGAGGCCTGAGAGTAGGGGAGATGGTTGCAGAGGTGTCTGTGCGGCAACCTAGTCCTCACCAGTTGTCCCCAGGCAGGCCAGAGTGAGAACGGGATCTCTGTACCTCTGCTTCCTACCTTTGCTGAATGCTGGTTGTGGTGCAGGCGGGGCAAGGGCATGGCTACCCAGTCCTCACTGGTTGGCCCCAGACAGGCCAGAATGAGAACAGCATCTCTGAGTGGCTGTCCCTGACCTCCGCCTTCCACCTTCCGCTGGACGTTATTCACTGGTGCTTTCAACTTTCCTTACTATCCTGCTCTGAGGCTATTCATTGAGATTTGAATTTTGTTTAGTATGTGTTGTTCAATTCCGAAAATTTCATTCCACTTCATTCCTGAGATATTCTACTTTTCAATTGCTCTTAAGAGTGTTCATGATTATTTGCAATAGCATTTGTTATCACAACGGTTTTAAAATCTTTTTCACATAGTACTTGTGTCATCTCAATATTATCACTACCATACCAATACCAGTGTGATCTTGATAGGTGTGTCTCTTCATTCTTTTTCCCAATCTGAGTTGAAATTTTCTTGGTTCTTAATACTCTGTTTAATTTCAGATTTTATTCTAGGTATTTTACATATTAGTATATGGTAAACTGGTTTTAATTTAAAGCCTATAGAGAATGTTCATCTTTTTGTTTTAGCAGGCATTTGACTACTCATGAATTTTAGACTACAGATTTAAACTTGTCTCTGTGTGATTTAAAAAAATTTTTTATTGGTACATTTTAGGTATACAATACATTTACATTCATCATTGGGATCTTGAACCTTTATATGACATATCTTTGTTCTTATTTTTCCCTATTCCCCTGACCTCCCTTCATCCCCTTCATGCTTCCCTATTTACAAAACTTTGTTTCCATTTTTCCCTTTTCTGTTATTTTCCCCCTTCCTACCTTTACCCTACCCCTCCAACTTCCCCTACATCTTTAGAACTTTTCTTCCTATTACACAGTGTCAGTTATACATTTTGACCCTTATTTACACTTTTAGTTCATCACACCAGAGAAACTATATGGTATTCACACATGTGTGTCCTCGTAATTTCACTTTAGAATATGCCTGTGTTATTTTAGAGCCTTTGCAGTTCCTTAGATCCTTTTTTTAGTCTTCTAGCTAAAAATCTAGAGTTTTAGTTATCCTGCCATACTATATATTCTCAGGTATTCTTGGGTCTAGTATTGAGTCATAGGACAGGGAAAGTAAAGAAAACAAAGGGGTTGCTCCACTGTGTTGAAGACAAAGCTTCTTTACCATCAGTGTCAGTTCCTGGGTACTCTTTTTTCCAGGGACTAAAATGCAAGAAAATAGATAAATGTGGCAGGGGAGGCAGAATATCTTTACTTTCTATATGTGTTAAGAGTTTCCTTTCTTGTATCCTATTCCAGAACTAGAGTGATTTTTCTGAGCCCTCTGTGTCTCAGTTCTAGTGCCTGTTTGCAGTTTTTTAATGCGTTGAGCCCAGGCTCAGGCATCATGGAATAAAAATGGTAAAATTAGTAATTACTTTAAATTCTGGTCTTCTTCCCTCATTCTTCCTATTACTGTTGAGTTCAGAGTCTTCATCCAGCTGTTTTATTCATTCAGTTATAGTTTTATAGCCATATTCTGTGAGAATGACTATGTGGTGTATGTTACTACATCTTATCAGGAACTGGAACACTTTCTTAGATTTATGTATTTAATTTTCTATTGCATGAATAATGTTTAACACCTAAGGCATATTTTTCTTTTGTTGTCAGTGACAGTATACGAAGTGCATGTGGCAACGGGTAAGCTATGGAATGCTGGAACAGTAGCAAATGTCTACATTTCTATCTGTGGGGAAAAGGGAGATACAGGATCCAGACAACTTTTTACATCAAAGAGTTCATGTAATTTTTTAAGAGGACAAGTAAGTAAACAAGTAATTTGTATGATTTTAAAAACTTTTAAATTATGGTAAAAATACATATAACTTCTCATGGAAACCATTTAAAACTGTATATTAAGTAGAATTTTAAGTGTGCAGTTTATTGTGTTAAGTATACAGATGGTGCCTGACTTGTGGTTTGACTGACACTTTTTCAACTCTATGAGAAAAACAGTGTGGAAGCAGTACACATGAGGTAGAAATCATGCCTTGAATTTTGAATTTTGACCTTTTAAGCTAGTGATATGCAGTCCAATACTCCTTCACAATGCTAAGTAAGCAGAAGCATTGAGCCTCACTCCCAACTAGCCAAATGATTATGAAAATAAACAGCAGCTCCTCTACAGGGCACTGTCTTCCTCACATCTGATCTTCAGTAGGTTAGGTTAGGTTAAATGCATTTTAAACTTATAATACTTTAAACATACAATGGATTTATTGGGATGTAACCCCATTGTGAGTCAAGAAGCTCCTCTATTCACTTTGTTGTACAATAGATCTTCAGAACTTTTTCATCCTGTGAAACTGGAAATCTATTACCATCCAATATCAGCTTTCTACAACTTCCTATTTCCGCCTTTCTGCAGTTGTCTGATAACTACCATTATACCTTCTGTTTCTCTGAATTTGGCTACTTCTAAGTACCCTACATAAGTGGAATCATACAGTAATTATCTTTTTGTTATTGGCTTTTTTTTTTTTTACTTAGCATAATGTCCTCAAGATTATTCCACATTTGATGTGACAGGATTTTCTTTCTTCCTTTTAAAAGTAATATTTTATTGTGTATATACATTCTGTTGATCTGTTCATCCTTTAATGAACATTTAAATTGCCTTCTCTCAGCTGTTTTGAATAATGCAACTGTGTACATGAGTGTGCTAATATTTCTTTGAAATCATTCTTTCAGTAATTTTGGATGTATATATCCAGAAATGGAATTGCTAGGTCATATGATAGTTTATTACTTTAAAAAATTACTGTATTTTTTTCATAGCAGTTACACCTTTTATAGTCTGACTAATAATGTATAGGATTCTCTATATCCTTGCCCCAAATTTTTTGAGATAATATGTGGGTTTGATTTGCCTTTCTCTAAAAATTAGTTGAGCATTTTTCATATATTTTCTTGGCTATTTGCTTATTATCTTAAGAGATAATTCAAACCCGTAGATTTTTTAGTAGGAAATTTTTTTTTAGGCAAAGAAAGCTTCTGTTTAAGAGAGACAGAATCGGGGCTGGAAAGTGGGTGGCCCACTAACCCCACTTTTCCAAGATGTTTTTTATAGCAAAGCCATATGGTGAGGCGGGTACAAAGTGTAACAAAACTATAAGACCCAATGGAAAATTACAAGGTGAGCATGAATTGGGGCAAAACAATGACCAACACAAAAGATTACAAGTAGTCACCCAGGTAATGTTAATTAAGTTGGGGTCAAGTGGGGGAGCAAACCAGTAGCAAGCATAAAAGGATTTTCAGTAAGAGTGGGGGTTAGGGATATTTCCTGGAAAGGTGGGTTAAGGCCTTTGCCCCCATCCAGGTAATTGATACCTATTTAGAATATCAATTTCTGCTATTTGTCCCTAAGGGGAAGCACAAGGGTATAGTAGTTTCTGTCCTTTTACAATCCTGGCCACAGTGAAAGTGTCTTTATTGCCCTCATTGTTGGCTCCTTGCTGTGTTGACTTCTTGAGGTTATCCCTGTCTAACTGCCTGAAAAAATATCTAATTAACTTACTTATCTGCAATATTCCCCCCTCTGAAGAAGTACCCCTAACTTCTGTGAGGGGCAAAGGGTGAAGACAGCTCTGGCTACTTCCAGGTGAAGAGGGTTATAGTTGTGATCAGCAGTTAGAGTTACTCTACAGAAGGTCTATGTAAAGGCCTTCAGTAGGAGCTAGGCATTGTTATCTTGGTAGCTGCATAGCTTTTAAGTCTGGAGGAGAAAAAGCCAAAGAAACAATTAAGACTATATGGGCCAAATTATAAGGTCAGCAGGCTTGCTATGAATATAGCCCACAAAGCAGATAAGGAAAAGGCCCAGGGAACTTTGGACTCCAACATATAAATTATGTAATTTAGCAGTTATGAGCTATTTACAAGGTTGATCTGGTGTTTCCCAGTAAAAGAAGTCTAGCATATTTGTCCTTGGTTCCATTTGTAAGATCTCTTGGAGTTTGGCAGCCTCTAGGCAAGAATAAACAAAACTTTTAAGAAATTAGAGTATGCATAATCTAAGCATGAGCACACTAGAATGAAAGGGCAGATTGGGAAGAAAGTCACACTTAGAAATTGAAATTGAACCTGCTGGACATAGATTATTTAATTAATAGAGGTTATCTATAAGTCTGATACTTTGTCATAAGTCTCTCTAGTTTTAGCTGTAAAATAAGAGACAATATGAAGAACAAATTTTACTAGGAAATATAAAATTCCAGCTGAGCTCTTATAGATTTTACCATAGTTTTTTTTTTTTTTTTTCCCTAGTGATCCATAAGCATGTTCAGCTACTTGTAGAGCTAGAAACTGCCAGAAGGGGTCAGTGACTGGTGCCCCTTCTTACATGTAATTTTATTACTATGGCATTATTTTATTCCTCTTTTGGTTATCTTTTTCTGCTGGGTGTTTAAGATCAAGTTAAAGTGAGACCTGTGTCAATCAACATGAACCTCTTGCTATCTATCAAGGTCAGTTAAATCTTTTTAGGCAGTACTTTGGAACCGTGCATAGATCCAGTCAGCTGTTCTTTCAGTGTCATACATCAGGATGGGTCATGGCCTTGCTTGACCATGTTGCTTTTAGTGAAAACATGGGAGACATTTCCCTCTTCGCGACTCTCCTTTGGCACACAGTACATTTGTCCTGTGGAGTACAGTAATCTCCCTGCTCAGGAGGTTGACTGACTTACCAAAGATGTAGGGTCCTGTAGGAAAGGTTCCCTAATGTCCTGGATTATTTGTTGATGTTGAGAGGCCAGCGCCAAAATATTGGCTGTCCTCATAGCCCAGTTACCTTTCTCATTTTGGTCTCCAAACTTTAGTTATTGAACACCCAGAAGAGAAGATCAGTGACAGTAGCGCAGTAGGAGCAGTGAGCTTAACTATTATAATTTTGTCTGGACAATAACTTTGAAATATAAAGCATAGTTAGGGGTATGCTATTTCTTCTTATCAGCCATGGTCATTTTAGTAGTTGAACCCCTGTAGAATGTTAACAGACAACAGTTATACATTATAGAGAAACTTAAGATCAAGAGTCACACATAGTGTTTTAGCATGACAATTATGGTAACATTTTCTTTGTAACACATGTTTATCTTAGTATGGAATGAATAGTCTTTCAGTCAGACACCTCCATCTGATCACAAGACTTTAAATGATATAAAGAAAACTCTTATTTGTTATCCTTTAGAGGATGCCATCTAAAGAGAATGTACATATTGGCCTATAAATGTACATTAGGAGTTCATAATGTCTAACTTCTAATTTTAGTGTGTGACATTGTTTTGACTGGTGACTTAGCATCCCTAAGTGGTGACACATATAACATACATCACATAAGATTTTAACAAAACCATTATCTGACTGGTTATCTCATGATGGCTTGACATGTATCTCATCACAATTAGCTGGAGTGCAAGAGAAAGGCAGATACCTGAGTCAAAAAGATTATTATCATTAATATCCTAGAGAACATGTATACCCAGAACGCATTCATATTTATACTGTGAAATAACAATGAGTGTCTGTTACGTGAAACCCTTTGTCTTTTAATTTTTTGCCCCAAGAGCATTTTAAATAAAACTTTATTGTTTCTCTCAGAAAACTTAGCCATTTGACCATGACAAATGCATACATATCACAGTAGTATGTTTTGCAATGTATTTTTCACAAGACTATGAAAATTATTGGGGTCTCCATTGTAAACAAAGGCTGGAATACATTTTTCTAGGCATCTACTCCTTTACTTACCAAGGACAGTCCTATCCAGTAGTTTTCCTAAGCCCAAGAGTCTTTCTTTATCTTAACAAATTTTTAGATGACCTATGAAAGCCAGATCATAACAATTAACCCATTATTTTTGACCAAGGAAAGATTCCTGAGTTATTATACATAGAAAACAATATCTAATGTATTTGTAAAACCAGTTGATATTATTTGCATCATCTGGCAACCTTGGGGAAACATATCTTTAGTGACATTTATCTATAAACCAACCTGAGTTACAGGCAAACATCTTTAAAAATCCAAAGTCCAAAATACAAAAAGTGCAAACAAAATAGATGTATGTGTTGTGACAAATTGGACAGATAGACAGACAAACAGATAAACACACACACACACACACACACACAAGACAACTTTTTATAGACCAGAGTGCAATCAGATAGATGTATTTGGCCAAGTTGAATTATAATAATTTTTATAATTGTTAGGTTACAGCTATAAATAAGACTAGTCAAGACTTTGTAGATCAATTAACAGAGATCTCTTGTAATAAGAAGGAAAAAAAAAAAAAAACGCCAGGGATTTAGCTCAGTGGTGCCACTGCCTGTCTCTCAAGCAGGTACAAAAAAGAATGAAAAAAAATAAAAAAACTTCTACACCCATGAAAGCAAAAACAGTTTTAAGATGGGCCCTAAGCTAACAGTTTATCTGGCTAGAATACCCAATTATGCAGGCTTCTCATGGTTGCTGATAGTCACATATAACTGTTCTCTCTAAAGGGACAGACTGTTGCAAGTAATTTTACCTATGTATCATGGAGGTCCTTTTGGGCCAAATTTGTATATAGAAGAGACTAGGTGACACTTTTTGGAGCTAAGTATGAATTCTATCCAGTGAGGGAAGTAGACCTGCCAAGGTGCCGACCTGCTGTGCTGCAGAAGTCTACCTATAACTGTTTTTCTATTTTGAAAAGAAACAGTGAAAGAAGGCATCTCCATCTATCCCTTTTGTTCTGTGCCCAATCTAAGGTGTCC